TAGGATTTATATTTTCAAATTAAGGCCCCTAAATTTCAGCATCATCCGATTTCAGCATCATCCCCGACAATTAATATTAGAACATAAAAAAGTTCACTAGATATTCATTCGCTTTATTAAATCTAGACGGTAAGTATAGAATTTTACTCATAAAATAAAAATATATTTTATCATTAATAGGATTCTCTATTAAATATTCCTTTTTATTTTATTATTCTTATTATTCACTTACTTGTTCGTTAAACTAGACAGTAAGTATAGAATTTTGCAATAAAATAAATAATATATTTTATTATTAATAGAATTCTCCATCAAATATTTCTTTTTGTTTTTTTATTCTTGTTATTCACTTGCTTATTCATTAAACTAGTCGGTATGTATAGAATTCTATTCATAAATAAATGATATCTTTAATCATCAATAGGATTCTCTATATTAAATTTTCTTAATCCGTACTGTTATTTACTTATGCATTCGTTAAACTAGTCTGTATGTATAGAATTTTATTCATAAATAAATAATATCTTTTTATCATCAATGAACTCTATTAAATATCTCTGATTTGTTTTATTATTCTTATTATTCACTACTTGTTTGTTAAACTAGGTGGTATTTATAGAATTTTACTTATAAAATAAATAACCAATAGAAATATCTATTAATATTCCTTATTTATTTATTATTAATATTATTCACTTATTCGTTCGTTAAACTAGGCGGTAAGTATAAAATTTGACTCATAAAATAAATCATTTTTATTATCAATAGAATTATTTATTAATTATTCTTATTATGCACTTACTCGTTAAACTAGCTGGTATGTATAGAATTTTATTTATAAAAGAAATATATTTTATTATTAATAGAATTATCTATTAAATATTATTTATTTTATTATTATTCATTTACTCATTTACTCATTCGTTAAACTAGTCAATATGTATAAAATTTTACTCACAAAATAAATAACACTAATAGAAATATCTATTAAATATTCCTTACTTATTTTATTATTCTTATTATATTAAACAAGCCGGTAAGTATAAACTTTTACTCATAAAATAAACAATATATTTTATAATTAATAGAATTCTCTATTGATATTTCTTATCCGTTCTGTCATTTACTTATGCGTTTGTTAAACTAGCCGGTAAGTATAAATTTTATTCATAAATGATATATTTTATCATCAATAGAATTCTCTAATAAATATTTCTTATCCTTTATTTATGTGTTCATTTAACTAGTCCGTATGTGTAGAATTTTTTATTCATAAATAAATGATTTATTTCATCATCAATAGAATTATCTATTAAATATCTCTTATTTATTTCATTATTATTCACTTACTCGTTCATTAAACTAGACGGTAAGTATAAAATTTTACTCAAAAAATAAATACTATTTTAATCATCAATAGAATTATCTGTTAAATATTTTTATTTATTTTATTATTCTTGTTATTCGCTTACTCGTTTGTTAACTAGCTGGTAAGTATAGAATTTTATTATAAAATAAATAATATATTTTATTATAATCGAATAATCTATTAATATTTCTTATCCATTCTGTCATTTACTTATATCTTCATTAAACTAGCCTGTATATATAGAATTTTATTCATAAATAAATGATATTATCATCAATAAAATTCTCTAATAAATATTTCTTATATTATTATTCTTATTATTCACTTATTTGTTCGTTAAACTAGCCGGTAGATATAGAATTTTACTCATAAAATAAATAACTTCAATAGATTATCTATTAAATATTCATTACTTATTTTATTATTCTTGTTATTCACTTACTTGTTAGTTAAACTAGCCGGTAAGCATAGAATTTTACTCATAAAATAGAAAAAACATTTTACCATCAATAGAATTCTCTCTATTAAATTTTTCTCATATGTTTTGTTATTCTGTTATTCACTTATGTTAACTGCCAGGCTGTAAGTATAGAATTTATTCATAAAATAAGCAATATACTTTATCATCAATAAAATTCTCTAATTTACTTATACGTTTGTTAAACTAGCTGGTAAGTATAGAATTTTACTTATAAAATATTTTATCATCAGTAGAAATCTTTATTAAATATTTCTTATTTATTTTATTATTCTTGTTATTCACTTACTTGTTAGTTAAACTAGTCTGTTTGTATAGAACTTTATTCATAAAATAAATAATATATTTTCTTATCAATAGAATTATCTATTAATATTCTTTATTTATTTTATTGTTATTATTCACCTACTCGTTAGTTAAACTAGCCGGTAAGTATAGAATTTTACTATAAAGTAAATATATTTTATCATTAATAGAATTCTCTATTAAATTTTCCTTATTTGTTTTGTTATCCTGTTATTCACTTAACGTTAACTTCAGTGTGTAAGTATAGAATTTATTTATCAAATAAATAATATATTTTATCATCATCAGAATTCTCTATTAAATATTTCTTATTCGTTCTGTTATTTACTTATGCGTTCATTAAACTAGCTGGTAAGTATAGAATTTTACTCATAAAATAAATAATATATTTTATCATCAATAAAATTATCTAATTATTTCTATTCTTTGGTTATTAGTATTTATTTTACAGCATTCTATGCACTAATTTTTTTGCAGACATTGTTTATCCTACTAAAATGGCCAATTAATGTTTACTTTGTTAAAGCATGTATTTTTCTATTGCTTTTATCTTTTACAAGAAATGTAACTTACTATACTGATGAGAATGATGTATCTAATGATTTTATAGCTACTTTGACAGTAGTAACACAATATTTACTAAGTAGATTTATGAAAGATGAAGATAGGAGAGAAGTTAGTGATATTGATGAAGATTGGAGGGAAGTTAGTTATATTGATGAAGATAGGAGGGAAGTTAGTTTTATTGTATAATAATCTTCAACAAAGTTGATTGTTTCTATACAAATGAAAGTTATTCGTAACATAAATGAATATATGCTCTGGTACCTCTAGAACAAATACGTAATTAAATTCAATTAATTGGCCATCGCTTTAACAGGACTTGTTATATTTAAAGCTCTTGATTTCATATTTTTTATTTATATATTTATTTATTTATTTATTTTATTTGTTTATTTATATATTTTATTCTTTATTTTTTTATTTTTATTTTATTTTATTTATTTATTTTATTTAAATGTTAAGACTAACAATGACAAATATATATATTTATATCGATTATAATTTAGTAACTTTGAAATCGCAAGTACATAATTGAAAGTTATAAATACTACATAATTAAAAAAAAATTATGAATACCAATACATGGTATTATGATTTAAATTCTCCCAAGTGCGAGGTGCAGCTGTTCGATTTTCAAGTTTTTTAATATCGTAAACCATAGTTTTTAAAGCTTTAAAATTTGGACGAATTGATTATAGCCAAAGATTTAAATTAGGTATATTTCGTGATATATTCAAAATTGCTTTACTCTAATAAATAATAATGCTATTGAATAAACTAGAAAAACAGCAACGTTTTGTGGGCTGAAGCTCTAGTTATTGGAAGAAGTTTATAATATAATATTTATGTAATGCAGTTTTATGTAGGTGAAGATTCATTCTCATATCTATGTTTAAAGATTTATTCATATATACCTGTATTAACTAATACTGTAATTAACTAGTTATGGACCAGACTTTTTAAAGACTTAACTAGGACTGGACCAGACCGGACTTTTAATATCACAACATAATATTAGTTAATAATACATGCTTTTCACATGAACTACTATGATAGGGACCTTGTATCAATATGCAGCTACAATTAGCCCAGGTTGGTTGATATAAATGTAAACGTATCTCGTGATGAATGATAAGTTGGGTAGATTGAAGAACAGTTAACCCAAAGATATTTTCATGATCATCACATCACATGATTAAAATATTCAGCCTAAATTAGCACCAGGTCTACAGACTAGAGTGTCTAGGATTATGTGATGTGAAATTATGCGCATAATTGCCCATTTTTGGGTCATTTAAAGCCATGTACCCACGTGACTTTTTTATGTAAATCAACCAACCGGAATTGCGAAATTTTGTTTACACAGATCAGCGCAAAGAAGTCAAAAAATAAAAAAACCACAAAAAGATAAAAAAACAATAGTTTTAACCTATCTTAGGGCACTAATTAAAAATATCAAGAAGGCAATTTTACCTATATTTCTTTTTTTATATGGTGCAGAAAGTCTTAACTCTCCAATATAATAGATGATCTTTAAAATCTATTAACTCCTTAAAAAATTAAAATTTTAAAAAACTA